TTGTTTTCTATATTTAAAAAAAATCTTACTTTTCAAAAAGCATATTATGTATCTCTCTAAATAAGTAAATAAAATATTATTTCAGACTCTTATAAAAGATATATATTCTAACTCGAACTTAAAACTTAGATTTAAAATTCTTTATCATTATACTATATTTTTTAGAGACCTATTAATATAATTAATAACACCTTATATATTAAGTTACTAACATGCAAACTTAAATTAAAAAAAATATTAAATATTATAAGTTCTTCATTAAAATTAATTTAAATGTAATTATAAAATATAATCTAGATTTCAGCACGATTAAACCTAAACAATTTCTTAACTCATATTTAATGAATATAAATAATTAATAAAAAAATTAAAAATATAAAAATATAATAAAAACAACAACCAAATAAATTCATCATGTTGAAGTATTTTTAAAATATATACAATATCCATCCATCATAATAAATGACAATCACCTTAGTTGTTCATGTGGAAGTTTCCACATCTTGATATCATGATAAACTTAAAAAACAAAACATTCTTAAAGCATATATATTGTAAATATAAATATTAATAGAAATTTTTGTTAATAAAACTATTAAATCAAGTTTTTAAAGATATTAATAGAATTCAAAAGGTGAATTCTAAAGATCTCGTACTAAGAAATTACATGCAAGGGAAAAAAAGTACTTGTTTTACTGCTGCTGAGAGCTCTTCAATCAAATATATCCAAGTGAACAACCTCACCATTTGTGATATTGAACATCGAAGGTGACATAGGAAGACAATGAAGTGTGTGTAGTGAAGGATCTTGATGATGAACTAGGTTTGATTATGCGCAAGTTTCTTGATGGAGAATGGCATTGGAGTCTTGAGGATTTGTTTTTTATTAGCTTTCTCATGCGAGATACGTGTAAAATCAATTTATGATCTTGTTAATTTTACTGAATTGGATTATCAGAAGGATATAATTGCAATTCTATTAAACATCAAGGACGCAATTGGCTAAAAATTTGCTTCCGTGAGTTAATTGACAGAGCAAGTAAAACCGAGTGGAATATTTTATTTTAACCCTATTCTTCATTGACCGCTATAATTTAATCAAAAATAAAATGTAGAATTTTCCGCATTTCAAAAGAGTTACTTATAATTTAATCCTTGTTGTTTAATGAAAGTAATTGTTACTAAATTCATTTCTAGCTCAATTCTTTCATTATTTTTTCGTGTTGTTTTGGAATTTATTTTTTTTCTTGAAAAGGAAAAGAGAAGAAGGTAAGATGAGGATATTTGATTTTGAAAGGAAACATTTAAGAAATTGAAAAAAAATATGAAGCGATTATTTAATTATTTTTAATACTATGAGTATTAAAATTTAATTAATTTTGATTAGCTACATGACTAAAGCATGATTAATTTGCTATTTTTTTTTTGCAATCTAACCAAGTATTTTTAAAAGATCTTGAAATTTTTTGTAAAATATTATAAATAATTAAATAAAAAGTATTATAAGTGATATTGAAGTGAAAAACTATAAATTTAACTACTCATTTTTGTAAATTATTTTACTGAACTTTCTTAAATAAAAAGTATTTTGCTAGTAACTTTTCTATAAAATGATTTACAACAAATCAGCACAAGTTGTAAAGCATTTTAGTGTAAAATGAAAAATAAATATTTAATTGTTTATTTAGAAATATAGTTGGTGTTACTTTTCAAAAAAAATTCATGCTAAAATGTATTAAAATAATTATTTTATTTTTAAAAAATATTTTTAAAATCAATATATTAAAATAATTTAAAATATATAAAATAAATTAATTTTTTTAGGAAACCGAGTTCCCAATCGTTCATTACTAGATTGATTTCTACCGAGAGTTAACATTCCGAGGCGAGGCAGCGAGTGACAAGCTAAAATCCAACAGCAGACCCTTTGGCTATCGATCGCTACCGAGCAATTTTCTCGAGATCTCGAATTAATTTACGTATAGAGCAGGACGATGCGCGTCTATAAACATTTAGGCAAAATCTGCCGAAGCTTAAACTCTCCCGCTTTCCTTATAAACTATACAATTTAGAAATTTAATAACAACCATCAAAACCTCTCATGTATAGTTTCAAAATTTGTGGATGAATGTATCCTTAGAGTGTTAGTTTTTTTTTTTAGGTATTTACATATTATATGTTTTTCACTTTTTTCTTTTTTATAGGATATAAAAGATATAGCATTCTATATATATAAAAATCTAAAAGAAAAAACTTATAAATAACAAAATAACAATTTATCCTTTAAATAATATCATTATATTATTTTATGATATTTTCATAAATTTATTCAATCAAATTCCTATTTGATTTTTGTAGGTCTAGATTTGTAATTTCTTGTATTAATTATATTATAGTCCTTAATTTCTACAAATTATTTACAATCAAGCTACATTTAATTAATCATCTCATTTTAATTTTTGATCATGGTTCTTATATATATGACTCATTAGATTCATTAATAAGTTAGCTCAAATATAAATTGTAATCCTAAATAAAATAAAATAAAAATTTAATTTATTATCAATTTAATAATTAATTGATTTATATTTGAAGATTAAGTACAATGTCTAATAACCTATCATAATTTTTTAAATATTAGAAAGTTATAAGTAGTTTGACTTAACCTTTTTATGACTAATTTTTTGGTTTAATTATTATCTCTTTATCATAAATATTTAAGTTTATAAATATAGCATGTAATATGTCTGCATTGTTAAATCGTTTTAGTTTTCTACATTATAGTCATTTATTAATTAAAGATTTTTAAGCTCTTTTTAAGACATATTTCACATTGAGCAAGGATTTCATAACTGATACTATTTAATAACAGACAGAGCATTTTTTATAATTCATATAGGGTGATTAATTCTTTATTGATCACTTTAATATCTTTATATTATTTATGTTATATATAATATTTGTCTTTTTACTATCATTAATTGAAAAAATATGTGGTCATTATCAAAATATAATATTCTATCTACAATATAACTTAATGATTTTAAGTCTAAGAATCATTTACACAACTATCATAAGAATCTTAAGAAATAAACATTTGATAAACACCTGTGTATGAGTTTCAAGTATTACATACCTTAGTTTATGAGAACATCTGTTTTCTTTCATTAAAAAAATAAATATAATATATATCGATCTCAATAATTTTGGTTAATATTCAATATTAATAGAACATTGATTAGGAATATTTAATAACAATATTTTGATACAATAAAAAATTTGTAATTATAACAACTTTATAATTTTTTTATAAATTATTTTTGTTTCAAAACTTTATTCTTATTCTAGATTTATTAATTAAATATTAAATTCATTAATTAAATACAAATAATTATTAAAAATAAAATATATGTTTTTTACATAGATAAAATCAATATTACATCTAACCAACTGATTTGATGACTACATAATATATACTCTAAAGTATATACTTTATATGTATGAAGAGATCAACATATAAAGAGCCTCGTAATACTTTATAAGTGCTCAAAAGTAAAGTTATATCACGTAATGCTTCATAAGTGCCCAATCTCAAAAGCTAAGTTATATAACGATAATGGAAGTCAAATTATTCATTATAAGAGTTTGGGTCCGGACGGCGCATTTAATCTTTTATGGGTGACGACCATCTGTCACTTATAATCTTATTTGTAAACATATCTTAAATTTAGTGGAAGTCATTTAATTATTTACTGGTTTACAGTGCCTCTTCTGTTGGGTCGGTGCAATTGTTTTTACCATAACAAAAAATATTTATGTCACATAAAGTTATTTCATATTGTTAATAAATATCATCTAATACAATGACTAAATTATTTATCCAACTCAAATTTCAAATTTAAAATTAATACATGTGATAAGTTGTCTGATATGACTTAATTAACTTGATTAATCAAAAAACTTTCTAATTGAATGATAATAAAAAAAGAGAAAGAAATTGAAGGGAAAAAATATAAAATTAACATGAAAAAAAACTCCTCAATCCAATTTTTTATCTAGCCTAAATTTAAAATTAAATTATGTGAAAGCTGTCTCAATACAGCTAATCAACTTAGTTAGTTTAAAGTCAAATTGACCAATTTCTAAAAAAAAATATAAAGATAAAATTAAAAGGAAAAAATATGAAATTGATAGGAAAAATCTATTATCTTGATTCTTTGTTTAACTTGAGTTTAAAATTAAATTATAAAATTAAATTATATGAAAGTTGTTTTAATATGATTTAGTCAACTTGATTGGTCCAAAGATAACAAATGATTGTTAAAAAAAATATATGTAAATAAAATTAAAAAAATAACAATAAAATTAAAAAAAATAACAATAAAATTAAAAAAATACTAAATTTAAAAAAAATTCATAATTCATATAAACAATAAAGCTTTGTAAACTTTCTCAAATCTACCTAATAATTTTTTTTTATACAATAATCAATATCAATAATATGATGAATACCAATTGAGTGATTTCTTTTTTAATAATTATTACTTAATAGAGAAAATATAAATATAATAGAAGTTAACATAAATATTCATTACGATTAAAGAATTAAGGAGTGTTTGAAAATGTAATAATTATTATTTTTTAAAATATTTTTAATTTAAAATATATTTAAAATATATATTTTTTATTTTTAAAAATTAATTTTGATATTAACATATCAAACAAATTTAAAAATATTAAAAAAAAAATTAATTTTTTTTTAAAATATAAAAATAAACAGATTCTAAAACTATTAAATTAATTATTAAAAAAAGCTATAGTATAATAGAAATATCTTAAACGTGTATTTAATGGGGTAATGTTGAGAGTTTAAATTATCCTTCCATGTAAAAACAGAAAAGAAATATGCATTTAGTTGAACTATTCTATTTTATCCGGATTTGAAAGGTAAAAAAAATCCAGTGTCTCTCAATTCCCCCCCAAAATATATATCTCTGTTTTTCACTTTCATCCCTCAACTCCTCCTCTCTCTCTCTGAAGCGCCAAGCAGCAGTGAGAGTTTTCCTACCATTTCTAAAGGGTGCTCCAAGCACCAACCCCTTTCTTTTTCTCGTGCTCTGTCTCTCTTCTTTACTATTGAATCCCTATCAATTTTCCTAAAAAACCCCTCTTTTATATAATTTATTATTTGAATCTCTGGCCCTCTTCTCCCTCTACCGGATTTTGAGGTAAATCTCCACTTCTCTATCTGTCTTTCTTTTCCTTTCCGTGTTTTAGCTTTTAAGCTGTATTTGAATATGCTTGATATTATTAGCTGTTGCTTGAAGTGTAGGATTTTACTTGAAAAGATTATTGCTTTGCGCTGTATGATCCAACTCCTCATCTGGGTTCTCTTCGAAATTAGAATTTTATTAGTGGATGGTTTTTGGATGGATGGCTCTCTGTGCTTGTTTTCTTTTCTTTAATGTTCGTAATTGTTATTCAAGTTGTCTGAGGGTACTGATGGATTGGTTTTCTAGAGATGTTTGGTTCAATTTGGGTTGTTGTTGTTGAATGCTGTGGTATTTTTCTTGGTTTGTTTTGGTACTGTTCAATGTTTTTTATTTAATGGGTTACTTTTAGGACCAATGGGGAAAAAGGCTAATAAGAAAAAGGCTCGCCCACCGCAGAAGGAGAAGCGGGTCGCTGGCCATTCTCCCAATATTGTGCCTGAACAAGCAAATCTCAATGTTGAAATTGTTGATGGAGTTACAGCAGTGAAAGAGAGAAAATTGTGTTCTCACTTTGACAAGGGTTTTGATGCGAACAACTTGTCGGACAAAATTAGGTCTTTGGATTCTCTTAGGTGTGAGGATTGTCGAGAAGGTGTTGGTGATAGGAAGGGGGCTAAGGGAAGGGGTAAACAAGCTAAGAAGAAAGGAAGTGGTTCGGTTGATTCAAAATCCCAGTCGAAAGCCGTTTGGGTCTGTTTAGAATGTGGGCATTTAGCCTGTGGAGGGGTTGGTTTGCCAACGACTGCTCAGAGCCATGCAATTCGTCATTCTAAGCAGAATCGTCATCCTTTGGTCTTCCAATGGGAAAACCCTCAACTTCAATGGTGCTTCCCATGTAATACACTAATTCCAGTTGAGAAAACAGAGGGAAATGGTGAGAAAAAAGATTCAGTATTTGAGGTTGTAAAGGCGATCAAGGCGCAATCATTTGAACAGTCATCAGTGGATGCCGTGGATGTTTGGATTGGAAGGGGCAGTATTCTTAGTGAACTTAATGCAGAAGGCACTGAGGCAACTAGTTTAGAGGGAAGAAGCGGTCATGTGGTGAGAGGCTTGGTTAATCTTGGGAACACTTGCTTCTTTAATTCAGTCATGCAGAATCTTCTATCTATGAACAAGTTGCGTGACTACCTAAATGAAGAGGCATCTCTAGGGCCTTTATCAATTGCTTTAAAGAAGCTATTTACTGATCTGCAAGCTGAGGCCAGTTTAAGAAATGTAATCAACCCGAAATCTTTTTTTGGGTCGGTCTGTTCCAAGGCTCCCCAATTTAGGGGTTATCAGCAGCAAGATAGTCATGAATTGCTGTGCTGCTTACTTGACGGGCTTTCTACTGAAGAGTTGATTGTTAGAAAGCGAAGAAATGCTTCCAACGAAGATGGCATTCCTCCAAAACATGGTCCTACGTTTGTGGATTCTGCTTTTGGGGGTCGAATTTCTAGCACTGTTTGTTGTGTAGAATGTGGGCACTCCTCAACCATGCATGAGCCATTTCAAGATCTCTCACTTCCAGTTCCAATGAAGAAACCTCCAATTAAAAAAGTCCAACCTGTCTCTCGAGCAAAGAAAACAAAGCTGCCACCAAAGAGAGTGGGGAAGGTTCAACCAAAGGTTAACAAAAATATGGATTCAGTGCCAGCTCAAAATATATCAAACCCATCAGTCCATGGTGATTCTTCATGCCACACACAGTCTTCTTCAGATAACACTCTAGCACCAGATTCAACTGTTCCATCGACTGTGGTCAATGAAACTAGCATAGCTTCACAGAATTCGATGGCTGGTATTGAATCTGATAGTAAGCAAGCTGTTGAGACAACAATGGAGCAAACAGCAAGTTCATTTGAAGACTTCTGGATGGATTATGTCGGACCAGAAACTGCATCAGATGAGCACGGTCTTACTTCAGAAAATAATGATCTTGCAGCAGGTCAGAAATGCGGGGATAAATTTGACATTCCTAATGATGGCTTAATGGAGACTTGCCAGGCATCTTCAATTGATGGGGAGCCAAATCAAAAACCAGAATCTTCTTCTGTTAATCCTTGGGAAGAGGAGGTTCCATTTCAAGTTCAAAGCTCTGAAGTTCTTCTGCTTCCGTACAGAGAAGAGGGCTTTACTGATGGGGAGATAATGGAGGGAGAAGCTGAGGCTTCCTCATCGTTTGTGGGCTGTGAACAAGATGAAGCGGAATTTGATGGCATTGGTGACTTATTCAATGAGCCTGAGGTTTCAGCAGCTCCTGTTGCAGGGCCCTCTTTACCTAATGAAGTTGCTGGACCAGTTTTTATTGCAGGAATTGGCAGTGAGTCTGATCCTGATGAAGTTGACGATACTGATTCTCCAGTGTCTATAGAGAGTTGTTTGTCTCATTTTGTAAAGCCAGAACTTCTCTCCAATGATAATGCTTGGGAATGTGAGAACTGTTCAAAAATCCTGCAACAGCAAAGGTTGGATGCAAAGAAGAAGCAAGCTAAAATATCTCCAAAAACTTTATTAAATGGAGGTGAGACTCAAATACAAAGTGATTCAGTGAGTTTATACAAGGACATCTCATATGCCTCTGAGGTCAGAAACTTTCAGAATGGAGATGGTATTCCTAATAGCCTTCTCAACTCCACACCTGAAGTCTTTGATTCAGGTAATGATTCCTCAAATAAAAATTTCATACAAGCTGAAATTGTTCAGACAGAGATGGAACCGTTCATTTCTCAAAGTGAAGAAAGGAAATATGAGATGAATGTATCACATAGCTCCGGTTACTATGAATCTTGTAATGGAGAAACTTTGAGTGGTCCACCTGTTGATTCTTGTAGTGGTGATGAGACAAGTGGTACTGGATATACCATGGTTAAAGATGAGCAGACTGGCTCCAACTTCTCTGGAAACTGTGAGTCAGATGTGAATGAGGATGAGGATAAAACTTCAAAAAAACTGAATGTAAAGAGGGATGCAACTAGGAGGTTCCTTATTGAAAAACCCCCGCCTATTCTAACCATTCATTTGAAGAGGTTCAGTCAAGATGCTCGTGGTCGTCTATGTAAATTGAGCGGCCATGTTACCTTCAGAGATGTACTTGATCTTGAACCTTATATGGATCCCAGGTACCTATCATTCAGCACTATCTTTGATTCCACTATAAATGATGTGGCGTCATAGTCCCATTGATTTTTCACCTTGTTGGCTTGGTGCCTTTGCTGTGAAGGCTCTGAAACCCTTTTACCTTAATGGCTATATTTAATAGTTAAGGCAGTTCATGATTCTGCAGGGTTATGGGTCCCTCTCATCACAAGTGATAGTAATGCATGAGAATAGCAAGTCATTTTGCTGCATTTGAGCTATTTATTTATGGAGCGTAACTGCCTCAATGATTTCTGGCCTGATGCTTGCAGTCATATGCATTTTCTCTATCATTTATGAGTTATGGTCTGTCAGAACAACACGTTTGAAGAGATATTTATTACCAAATTGAGCCTTTTACACGGAAAATAAAAAGTAGATAGGTTTTTCAGAGGCTGTGAACTTATAGGACAACTTCCAGGAAAGGAAATTTTAAACCGTCTCGTTAAGAGGAATACAAAATGGACAAATGTTTTATTAGATACAAATAATCAAACAAGAAACTTGTGATGGAATTGTATAGTTTCCCTTGACTGTTGTTCATAAGATGTAACTTGTGAAGCATTTGTGATGTTAATGTAAGCTATAGATAGAGCTATTTTTCTCTTGGGTTCTAACATATGCACTAGCTTTGATGTAATAGCTGCCCTAGATCGTGCTTTCAATGGCTTTAAGTGAATTTCACTATGGATTCTATATGTAAAAACACACGAAAAGATTGAGAAAAATCGGTCATTCACAGAGTTTTTATGCCTGATTTGATTCCTGACTTTAATTTCCTCTACATAAACTTTGTTTTGCAAGGAAAACTGTCATGTAATTAACTGCAGCTGTTACATTGTTGAGCATTTACAGGTCCGTTGACACAGAGAGATATGTATATCGCCTGCTTGGGGTGGTAGAGCATTTAGGAACAATGAGGGGAGGCCACTATATTGCATATGTCAGAGGAGATGAGAGGAACAAAGGCAAGGCTGACAAAGAACAGGGGGGTTCTGTGTGGTATTATGCCAGTGACGCCCATGTGCGTGAGGTTTCCCTGGAAGAAGTTCTGCGTTGCGATGCTTATTTATTATTTTATGAGAAAGTATCAAATTGATTTGTTTTTCATGTGATTCTTTAACTCGGGGTATACATGAAATCCCAAAGGGGAGGGAGAGAAACACGACTTGACAAGAAGAGAGAGTGTACAACAACCAACACCATATATATTTGATACTCCATTTTTTGACATCGAAGGAGCTCTAAGACCCTACATTGTGAAACTACATCACATCATGAGAATATTATTTTCTCTTTTCTTTTGTCCCGTTGTCCTGGGATTCTTAGCTACTTGAACTGGAATGTTTTTCCGGGACATGGGGCGTGCTTCTTGATTCTTTTGATTGGTTGCTGTAATATTTTCAGCTGAGATGTCCTTTCGAGGAGACAATCATGTTACAAGTCTCTCATCTCTAGGAATTCTTTTATGGTTTGGATGCTGTCAAAGTTCTGTAACATTCTTGTGTAGAATGTTGCATGAGCTTTATCGTTCGTCTTTGCAGCGTACCAATGAGGGGGTAACACTATGCTTACGAATTGATATCAATACTATTTATATGATAGTTTGAACAACAAAGTCGCTTTGGCCGAGTGGTTAAGGCGTGTGCCTGCTAAGTACATGGGGTTTCCCCGCGAGAGTTCGAATCTCTCAGGCGACGAAATATTTTTTTGATTTTTAATATTATATAATCATTATAATATTTCTTTAGACAATTATTCGTCACACAGCCTTCCTTTTCTTTTATTTATTAACATTAATAATAATCTCCTATCACCTTTCTTGCACCAAATCGATCTCTAATTCCATTCAAATCAAGTGTTAAATTAACTATTCATATCTCTACTAATATATTCATTAAAAATACTTTTTTCATGTGATTTTTAAAAAAACTATTCTGACCCTGAATGACAAGTTAATAAGCAAAATTTAATTTGTCACTTTTTTGACTTTTTCCATTGATTATTTATTTTAATTTGTTATTAATTCAAAAAACAAAGTAGGCATCACTCTTGACCTTATCCTCTCCCATCATTTTATTTGATAATTAAATTTTATGATTTATTTTATGGTTTTTTTTCTAAAATTTCTTAGTTGACAAAATTTATGTCATTGAGTTGATTCTTAATTTTACAAAGAATATTTTGACTTATAGGCATGCAAGAAATTAAGAATTATGAGAACAAAATTGACTTTGAGGTAGAAAGGCAGATATTTATTAAAAAAAAAAGAGTCTTTTTCAGTCTTTTTTTTTTAAGTTTGATTACTAAATTTTTTTGTTTTTGATTTCATTTTTTTATATTATATTAATTGATGTTCGGCTAGATTCAATATTGTTTTCTCTTGGGTTATCGCAGTATAAAAACACATTATCACATTGTGATGGCTCTTAATTTTGAAAAACAAAAATTTTAGTTTTATTGTTTGCAAGAAATTTAAAATAATAAGATGAAAATTAAAAACTTGGTAAAACAAAAGCCTTCTTTTTTAAAATAAATGGTCTCGAAAACTCTTAGCCTTTATTTTTTTTAGTTTTTATATTTGGTCCCTTGAGTTTGAAAATTATACAATTTATTATAAAATTTTATTCTATTCATATTTTAGCCCTGGAGTTTGAGAGAGGGGAGAAAGTTGCTAAGAAAAACAAAAATGTGAGAGCAAAAGATTCTTTATTTCAGTTTCATCATAAAAATACCTAAATATAGTGTCAAAGTATCTTTCTTAACAAGATAAGTGTCATTCATGTGTTTTTCTAGCATTCATATTGCTTTGAAAAACATATTAGGATTGAAAAAAAAAATGGTTGGATTTTGTGTTTTTAAGCCAATGAGAAGATATTTTTGGTTAGAAAAATTAGTTATATATATATATAATTTCATTTAAATTCATAAATTAATTAATAATATTTTTTTTAGATATTATTGTATTAAATTCCATTTAACTTCTACTTTGTACTCCAATAATTGTTCTTTTTGTATAACTCATTATAATCAATATTTTTTTATTAGATTAATTTATTATAGTCATTTATTTTTGTTATTATATAATTAATAAAAAAATTTAAAAACAATTATTAAATATAACTGATTTAATGAATTAACTTGGAATGAATTGATATATCATCATTTTAATATTAATAAAAAATATCATATTATTTTTTTTAAATCAAGCTATATTTTTAATAATATTTTAGATTGCCTTTACACTTATCAAGTCAAGTCAACTAGTATATATTATGTTAATTTTTATATGATTTAATTTGAAACATGTATTAGGCAATGATTTGTGCCAGAAGATTTCAAGGATGGCTAACAAAGTTGATTTTAATGATATTTTCGCAACAACGCACAAGCATTCTATTATTATTTTTTGATGCACCTACATCAAAATTATTAAAATATTATTTTTTTAAAATTAAAATTTACTTTGCAAACACAAGAGAATTTTATCTAAGAAACAAATATTGTTCTAGTGAAAATTTTCAAACAAACAAGAATAAATTCCCATTAATCAGACAGAGATTTTAGGTAATTTACCAAAGAGATTTTGGTAAATTAAAGATATTAAGGTGAAGAAAAAGAATTTTACCAATAAGTTCAATTGAATTTAAATTGTTGCTATTCTTATATAAAAAAGCTACTGTCATATAATTATGCTATAAAATAAAATAAAATAAAGGACTTCTGATCAAATATATTTATTTGTATTTATTTTTTAACTTCATGATTTAATCTTTAGTTAGTGTCAAAATATCTTTTTAATTTAATGTTATTGACACATATAATACTCAATTTATTTTTTTTAAAATGTGTATAAGATTTTGAGTTAATAATTAATATTTTTCTTGTTATATTAAAACACATTAGTAATTAAATTAAATATGCTATTAACAAAATCATATTCCATCAAAAAAAGAAAAAGGTATTGCCAAAACACGAGGTATTATTACAAAATCATGCATCGTATTGAATCTAGCATTAAATTAAATAAAAAAAAAACTAAAAGACAAGGTGATTCTATTTTTATTGTTTGAATCCATAGTGCCTAGTTTTTCTTTATTTTTATTTTTTTTGTAGTTGTGTCTCTATCTGACCAATTTAATTAGATATATAGCTTGAATTTACGGTAAAAAAATAAAAATAAAAATAAAATTCAAACATAGAGTGAGAGTGAAAAATACAGGGAAACCAAATAAAGTTTTTATTGTTTAAATTCAAAAAGCCTAATTATATACTCTCCCTGTACAGTCAAAGTTGCTTTTCCTGTATTCAGAAGAATCACAAAGCTAGCTTCAAGCAAAAGCGGGTTTATTTTTGTATTTTGAAAATATTTTAAAAAAAATTAATTTTTATTTTTTTGTTTAAAATTACTTTAATGTGTTATTATTGAAATTATTTTTTTAATATTATTTTAATATATTTTTAATAAAAAATACTTCAAAGAAAAAAGAAAAAAGCCTGTATAAACAAGGATAACACTGTGAATTCCTTCACTTTTTTCAACAACATTCAAAACAAAGTGTTCTTGTATAAATAAACTATAAAAAGAAAAAGGAAACAAAATCCTAAAAGAAATAAAGAATTCAGCTCCCCTTCTCCTCTTTCTCTATCTCTCTCTTGCTTTACTCTCTAAACCCCATCACACTCTCTAAACCCCACCACCCTATAACACTCTCCAGTCTCTTCCATGGAAAATCTGCTCCCTAACAAACTATTCTTCGTCTTCTTAGCCATCCACGTTCTTGGGGGTGCACTGTTTTTGGCAGTGGTGGTGGAAGGGAACTGGTGTGTGGCAAGAAGTGATGCAAGCAACCAAGCCTTGCAAACTGCACTCGACTATGCATGCGGTTCTGGTGCCGACTGCACCCCATTACAGCCTAATGGACTATGCTTCTTGCCTAACTCAATCCAGGCTCATGCTTCTTATGCATTCAATAGCTACTTTCAAAGGAAAGGAATGGCTCCTGGCTCTTGTGACTTTTCTGGCACTGCTACTGTTGCAAAAACTGATCCCAGTTAATCTTTTTCCTCTTGATTCTCCCTCTCTAGCTTAGCGTTATTCTTTTGTTGTGTGAGTTGTGTTTTGCACCAAAGGGTGGCTGCTTAAACCGTGCTTTGATTCTTTTGGCTTTATGCTGTAGGTTACGGATCTTGTGTGTATCCATCCTCTCTAAGGTACGCGTGATCTGAATCATATGATCAATCTATCCTTGACCCTTTTTACTGAAAAAAGAGAGGATTTCCTTTAGTTTTATGAAGTTTTTTAGGTGTTTAAGATGGTTCTTAAGCTATTTAAAATAGGGTAAATTGTTTGTATTTTAAGTTCATGAGGCCTGGGTGCTTCTTTAAGGATTCCATAGTGGGGGAGTGACCAGGCAAAGACTAATACACTGCTTAAGCCCACTGAAAACATGGTTAAGAAATGAATTAACATGATAATTAAGCATAGCTTCGTCTTCACGTTAGGGTTTCTTTCTGTTTATTTATTTATTTAGTTAGAACATAAAGATTATGCCCAAAATAGTTTATTGTAGTCTTGTATGCTTTTTTTTTTTGCTCGCTTTCTTGAAGTACTTCCATGTCCTCTTGCAGTATGGTCTCTTGTTTGTAAAGACCATAGTTTTTAAACCCGGTCCGGTGGCTGGCCCGGTCCAAGGCCTGAGTTTCGGGTTTTGACTGGGTCACCGGGTTTTGACTGGGTCGAACGGGTCGGCCGGGTCAATTTTTATTTTTAAAAAAATTCAAAACGACGTCGTTTTAATAAAAAATAAATAAAAGTCAACGGGTTACCACCGGGTTTTTGACCGGGTTTTTCCGGGTCGTCCGGGTCACACAAGGGTCATGGCTTACCTTATTTTTTTATCAACCCGGACCGGTTCCAGCCCCGGGTCGGCCGGGTCCCGGGTCAACCCGCCGGGCCAGGCCGGGTTTAAAAACTATGGTAAAGACTGATGAATGATTTACATGTGTCATTTTGCATGTGGTCAAGATTTGATAAACAATTTAAAGATCCAACGGCTCAAAAACTTGTGCAGTTTTTTCATCGGTTTGTCTTGTCACATTGGGTGTTTATATATGTAAAGGCTGTGTTTGTTTTGTAACTGTTTTTATGTTTGTGGTATAATAAATTCAATAAAATATTTGATAACAAATCAAATTATATTTTGTAATATAGTTCCACAAAAATATTAAATTTAAAATATAGTTACGGGAAACAATTTTTACATGTTTTGTTTATTGAATTTTGTAAAATCCTATTTGTTTTTATGTTTTAAAAGTGTTTTTGAAAATATTTAATTTTATTTTTTACTTCAAATTAATTTTTTTTATTTTCAAATTATTTTAATGCACTAATATTCAAAATAATTTTTTAAAATAAAAAAATATTTTGATGTATTTCCAAGTAAAAAGAATTTTGAAAAAAAACTGCAACTACATTTCTAAACACAACTATTAAATATTTTATATATACTTTTTTATTATACATAAATATCAACCATGATTTTTATCAAAGACATATCTAAATCCAACTAACTACACCTAACTATTTTTTTTTTAATTTGATTTTAAACAACAACCATATAATCTACCTAAAGAACAAACACAATTATAAAAATTGGAAACGCCGTTTTGAGTTTCTTGGGTCACTCATTTTGGAATTTCTTTTTAAAATTTTCACCTTTTTTTAAAAGAAAAAAATAAAATTGGCATAGTTTGAAAAAGAATATGTGAAACAATATAATTTGTGAGCACTGTGAATGATAAATATGATATTTAACTTTCTTGCAAATTTTTTTTAATAAATAGTAAATTGAGCTGCACAAATTATGATGAGTAGAGATTAAAGAGAAAATAAAAAAATAAAATAAAATTTATTTTGAATACACACTAAAACTTTGATTATAATATTATTGATATTATAAATTTTTTTTGGTGAAATGTATTTAATAACATTAAGAAAATTCATCAATATCAATCAAAGTAGGTTATACTTATCACTAACAAATGACTCACTTTTTAACGGTAATTATAGCGTGTTTATTGTGCTTATTATTAATGATGTGTTTATTATTGATAATATTTTTGAAGTTATTGTATTTATTTAATTGATATTTTTATGATATCATGCTCTTATAATTGGGGCTTTGATGTCTAAGTGGTTTTTTTTTTTTTTTTGGTCTCTTCTCATCGTAATTTCATTATAATTTTTGCACCTAAATTCATTATAAATAGTAGTGACAAGCTTAAATGTTGTGTTTATAAAACAGTTATTTCGTTAATTTTTTTTTTGAAATACTAACAAGCAAAAATAACCCTCATTTTGCTTCTACTCCTGCGAGGATACCGCCCCCAGGCTCTGTATTTTTTTTTTTTTTTAACAAGACAACACACCCTTCACTAGTTGTGAAGCGCCGGATCAGATCTTTATACCAACTGTATATAATGGACAGAACCCTAGAGATATGAGCGAGTGAGTCAGACAAATAGGAACACAGTGATTTAGCTGTTAGCTGTCATCGTGCAAAAAGTTTTATCCTCGTGAATCTGCCCCTAGATGCATGATTATATCCAATGGTGGCTTTCTAAGATTAATTCGAAACATGGGCAAAAAGTAAACGTACTTGCTGTTCAAAGTAGCTGTAGTGTTTGAAAAGCAGCCAGATCGTCTATAGCACAAAGCTTTCTTCCTATAATGTCATGCAAAAACCTGAAACCTACATTGCTTGTAAGCTTTGTGAAGAGACATGATGCTAGCACTAATGGGAAAAAGGTGAGCTGTGTGGGTGCGGTGCTAGCCCAGCAAGTCTAGGTTGTGGGAGAATAGGGAGCCTGGTCCTGGGAAATTAATTGCACTGCAAGTGTTCCTCCTCCACAACCCTCCCCTTTCCATGCAAAAAGATGAAGCGTGTAAGAAGTATGGCTACTGCGGCTAGCCAGAATAGAAAGCAGTAGCTGCAGTGAGGAGGCAGGGGTATGCATCTTAGGTTGATATAATTAGAAACAAAATCTTACCATATCTACTGAATGTTCACACTTGGTTAGGGTTTTCTTAGAATGAGAGAGAGAGAGAGAGAGAGTATACTACCATTCTTTGATGACTTGGACCGAGGAAGGAAAGGAGGGTGATTATGGAGAAAATATTCAAAGATGCTTGCAGGCTGTTTATGAGTACTCCAAAGAATCTACTTTTGGAGCCATGTTTTATGGCTTTGTGTTTTGTGCCCTGCGGGACAGCTCTATGCTGACTGATTTCTCTGAATTGTGCTTTGTGCATTATGAATATATACAATTCTGACAACTCAGGTTGATCTTTTTCAAGTGAACAAACTCGACGCTTGGCAGACATTGTTCTCTTGTTTTTAGATCCTCTGACAGATTATCATATGCTTAATCTAGATTTGGCTAATAAAATTAAACCAATTCAGAGAAATACGTATTATAATCATCTTAGTGACTTGATTAGGCATTAGCTTTGATGTGTTTCTTTTTTATTTCAAGAAAGTCGTTCGTGCAATGTTAAGTGGCTAACTGAATAAAATCATTTGAATTTCCAGCACTGCCGGAGGGGCTGGCACCACTTCAAGTACCACACCAAATACTAACCCCAACATACAATCACCGACTTTTGGCGATGGTTCAACCGGGCTGAACCCTGGACTAAACCCCGGAACGCCTCCACTGCTGGACAATTCTGAATCTTCTCTAGGGTTTGTGGCCACAAGAACCTTACAGCCTCTGTGCCTCTTGCTTGTTCTCTCATTTACGTTTCGGCCCATGTAGTCTTTTAAGCCAGAGCTGCAATATCGCTCTGGTGTGAAAGAAATTGCGTGCACAGTTTTGTTAGATGCTTGAGCGCTCATCCTTGCCACCAAGTAGCTTTAGCACTAATCATCTATTCATGCTGTTTTTAGTGTGGAGGGGTTGTTAGTAACCTTTTAATTGGCTTGTAAACATGTATGTACTCATTGCAAGGAGATCTGGGTTGCTAGCTACAAAAACCCTCGTGGCTATTGAAGTCCAACCTTTGCAGGACTGCAAAATCGATTCAATTGTTCAATCTGGATTTGTAAGTTTATAATGTTGTTGGTGGACAAGGATTTGCGGGGGCAGTTCATTATATCTTTCTGAAAATCTGCACTCTCAAGACTCTTCATTGCATCAAATGCAATGAAATTTAAAGATGAAATTCAAGAACTTTGCTACAGTCAGGAAAACATGTGTATTATTCTTCCACAATGAATCATGAATGCTATTCAAATGCCTGCCTCCCTTTCTCCTGCAGTTGTGGCCTTGTAGGGAGGCGTATAAATGTGTGGGCGAAGGCAGGAATGCAGGGTAACAAGCACTACTACAGTTATTGCTCAAAAAGAGTTCTAGTGTTGAAGGGGTGATGGGCTGCTTCCGATGCTCAAATGCCAAGTTTTTGAAAGAACCAAAATTTATAAAAATGGCTAAGGAATAACTAGTTGCACTTAGTTTCTGGCTTCATAAAAAATCCAGAAGGAAGTTTTGTAAGTAATCTGATATTAGCTTTCCAATTTCTATCCATATCAAAACCAAAGCACCCAGCGAACAGCCAAACGCTGAAGTTAACTCAGACACCTAGCTAAGGTGCAATTTCATACAATAGACTGCAGTCTTTGATTTCTGAAGATGATCATTTTACAGTATCTTATTACTTGCATCACTAGAGGAAGGATGCCTTAGCTCCGTTCTATTTTGTTTAGTTATATCACCATACCTCCAGATCCCATACCGCTTGGTGATAAACGCTACAATATATTCAAGCATTGCTTGGCAGCATAAGGTTATATATAAAAAAGCAAGCTCTGTTGCTTAGCCTGGATTTCAAAAGCTGATCGATCGAGTTAGCCGTATGAAGTTACAATTCCAGACATTCTAAAATTTAGAGGTTATAGTGGTTGATGTCAAATGTACTGCCTACACAAGGGAACATTTGCTGTGTATGAAGGTTACACAAGGGAACATGAGCTGTGTATGAAGGGGCAATAGTTGGTTTTGTCAATTACATTCAAGAACCTGAAGACCCAGAAATGTTAAAGAACATGCTTAATTACCTTGGTTAGCCAGGCACCTATAAGGTTCTCTAACTATGTAAAGGATATCCCCAGCAGTTTCATAGTAGTCTCGATTGCGATGCCAACTCCACAAAGCATGAGTCTCATTTTTCACCTGAAAGCCACACACTGCCCGTTAGTTTGTGCTCTAAATTAAACAATTTTAGCAGAACAACATCATACAATATACAGTAAATGAAGCTCCATGAATATAGAAATACAGATTTAAGATATTCAGTGGATTCTTGGGAATCTCTGGCTAAAGCCTACAAACTTGTGAGTTAAAGGCTACTTTTATACAGAGAAACCAAAGAAATGGAGATGGAAACAAAAAAATTGATTGGCCTCGCAAACTACTTAAAACATTGTTAGAATATTGACATATTTACAATTTTTGGTGGATTGAAGGAATTAGGTTGAGAACAACTAATTAGAACTGTCCTGATTTGAAGAGATTTCCAGCTTTCTTTCCCTTTTTTCCTAAATAATATTCTAACCAGTTGATCTCAGTTTGAAAGAACCTATACGTATCATAGGCAGTTGAAAAGGAAGGTCTAATGTTCAGTTCATTATTTCAGGCAGTAACTATAGAAAATAATTATCTATAGAGGTGCTAGGAGAGGGAGGGATATAAGACCTCTAATATCCCATGACCAAAGCTGCTTTCTCTGTAGGCACTATACTCAGGCTGCCTGTTCCAGCAAAAGCTACCTGCAGCAGGGCCTGATGTGAAATTGAATCCACAGAAGCCACCACCTATATCTAAGTCAGCTGTGGTGGATGGCTCTGGACACTCATCAGGGTCGTCAGCATGGGTAACTGCTATGTCTTCTCGACTTCCACCATCACCAATTGTGATATAAACTGGACCACATGGATCCAAAGAGTAGTTATAAACTCGGTTTGACCTCTCGTATGCATGAACCTGCATGTTTTTATGAGATCAAACAATAGACATCACTTCAATTAACTGATTGTAAGAATGGTCATGGGCCACATATGTCAACCATCAATGTTCATAATACAGTAAATTAGATCTCTTCTTGCCTGAAATGGAACTTGTATTCTACAGAAGAAACAATTTCCCTGCTCCAATATTTGATTTTCCTAACACAGATTGTGAAATATTTATAACAGAAGTTCATTGCAGTTACAATATTTTATAGCAACTTGCTGAAAGATGGAATATGCCGAATGCTATCTATCCTTGTGCATCCAACTACTAACTTGCAACTTCATATTACCAAGAAGGAAATGTGTAAAGATGAACAAGGCATTTTGTTTCCAAATCATGGCCTTTGTTATGGGTGAAGTCAATATTTTATGTTCAACTAGAGTTGATTAGGTCTTGCACACAGTGACAAAGAGAAAGAAACACTTGCAAAAGTGCAATCACCAAGTATCAAAAATAATAAGCTAATCATTTAAATGCTGCACAACTGCTATGATATAGAATACTTACATGTCCATTGAATACTATGTCCACACCATGCTCATAGAGCAAGTCCTCCATTTCTACTCTCATACATTCTGCTTCTCTGTATTGTGCCTTGAATGTGCTGTACCAAGGAGGATACCAAACAGCCACCAACCATGGAGTCACATTCCTGTTAACATTATACAGATCTCCTTCCAACCACTTGTATTGATCCGCTGTGAAAGAAAATCTAGAGAATTGTACTATGTGGCAGATAAAAATAATAATAAAAAGGAAAAAAATTCCCATACATGTTAACAAGGAAATGTATTAGGTACACAGAAGTGATCAAATGAACTCATAACAGGAATATCATGTCATTTGTGTTTGTGATGACTTTCATGAGATTGCTTGATTTTTTTATTGAATAGAGCAAATGCTAATGCAAAACCCAGGGGAATAAGAATCAAAAGCAAAAAGAAAATTAGTAAATTGCTGGCTTTACATGATTTATCATAGTAAGTGTAGGGATTTAGTATCACAGAGTGTATCCCTCCTGCATTGAAAGAATAGTACACCGAGGATGATGATCCGCTTTCTTCAGATGGGAATGCAAATCGAGAGCTGTAAGAAACGAAAATCTGATCTTCAGTTTGTGGTTCTATCTCATGCTTCCCTCCAACCAACATGGTTGGAACATTAGCTACTAGAGGTTGCGTAAACCTGCTTTCAGAAATGCATAGTTCAATGAGCAAACCTTTACATGGAAAAGTAGTTAACACAGCATACAGGGGAAAGATGATACCACTGCAAGGTAGTTTGGTTACCTAGTTTCCAATCAGTGAAGCATTTAAGTTTCTCATTTTTACTTTTGTCAAATCAACTGAATCCAAAATAGCGGGGAGGTAAAAAAATGGAAAGTAAACATTAAATTAAGTATGCTCTCAAAAGTTATGTTTGAGTATTAGATAGGCTTGCAAACTGGTAGACAAGTTCGAGCATATAAAAGATTTGAGTTTTGACCTTCCCCAATAATCCCATCGAGGCTGGTATGTTTCATGGATGGGAGATTCATCAAATGAGCAAGGGTAACAATCGGATCCAGTTCCATTAGTGAGATACATGTCAGCATAACTTATACCTCCAACCAAAACAAGAAGATCTGGATGGTTGCTGAGTAAATGACTGAATGTTGTGCTTGTATTGTATGTAAGACCTAGGTCTCCTACCACTGCTACTCGATGAGGGTAATTTGTAGGACTGGAAGGGGGCATGGTCCTAAAATAAAAGACATCACTCATTGCTGATATATAGGGATCTCCACATTGATATTGATATAATGTGCTTGGTTCCAACCCTGTGAAAGACACGGTAGAAAATGCACCTCGATTAAAAGTTGTAGAAAATGCACCTCAATTAAAAGTTTTCATGATTCACCGACCCTAAGCAGACACATACACACCTCTTCCCTACGTTGAACATAAAAGGGACAGATATGGCTTCTAAGTTCATTTTTTAATCTTGCATCAGACTATGCATGGTTAGGCTTCCAAATGCATAGAAAACTTGAACATGACAAGTGTAGTTTTTGCGCAGATGGCAATAATACCTGTCAGACGAACGTGGTGTATGATGCCAGAAGTGTAGTTTTGAAGCCCTTCAAAAGGATAAAGTTGATTGTAAACAAATGAATATCCAACTTCCTCATAACTCATCTGGGACCCTTGAATTCCATATTGTACAACGCTATAAACTGATTCAGGATCCAAAGGTGTTATGTCATCACCAATTTGGGAATCCCCTGCAGCTCAAATTATACAATATCATTAAAAACTTTACAAAAGAGTAGAATAATACTAAAGCTGGAAGTGCATATGTCATTACATTGTCAGCTCCATTAAAGTTTCTTCCTCTTAGTAGAATTCAACTAGAAGAATCATTTTTTTTTCTGTTTTGAATCTGCACTAATACATTCCCCTTTCAGATTTAGTATCATAATACCTTTCTGCTATGATATTCAAGACCTTGGTTTCCAGCTAGAATTAAACTGAAATCATTCTATAAACATCCAATCTTCCCACTTGCTAAAAACAGAGGTTATTCTTCTAATAGCACAAAAAATCCAGCAATTTGAGAAGCAAGACTCTTTATTTTGCTCTTACAAATTACCCCTTAATTTGTTACAATGCCAAAACTCAAGGTCAAACTAGCTTTCCTATATAGTTAGGCCAAAACTATAACTGTGTGTACCTCTTTGCAACATTATCTTATTGCTCTCAAATCACTAGGAAACAAAAAAGCAAAATGAATGGCAAAGAAAAAGAGACCTGTAATCCAAGAGATCCAAACAGAGTCATAGTCAGAAGACAGAGAGACAGAGACTTGTTCAGGTTCAAATCCCTGAACAGTCCTTTGAACTTGAGGGTCAGTATCTGGCAAGTCAATGGCATTGCCATGGTAAGTCTTGTTATCAAAAGGAACCGTTACTGGCTTGAATGGTCCCTCAAGGGTCGTTGGAAAATTACCATTAACAATTATTAATCTCCACAAAAGAAAGAGAAATAGTGGAAATGAGAGTAAACCCATCTGTTGGTTTAGCTTTGTTTGCAATTTTGCAAAGAACTGAAAGGGTTAAAGTTAAGTCACTTTGCTTGAGAGGGCTTGAGAGGACTTGAGAGACTGAGAGATGGAGAGAGATGGACACCGATGGGAAGGGAGGTAAGAAGTGACAAAGACAGACCGCTCTCATAAAGCAGCTCAGCTCATGCGCTGAAAGTGAGTTCACGGGTTCTTAGGTTGCCCAAGTAGTGTTCGGTGAATATAGTTTGCTAAAAATATAATTTTTTTTAATTATTTAATATATATATATATATATATATGCTGCCATTAAAAATAAATTTTAAAAAATAAAAAATATTATTTTGATATATATATATAAAAATTTAAAAATAATTATTATTATAATATTAAACTTACACCGTACGTATAAAAAAAACAATGTCAAGTTGTTGCAAGAGTTTTTTTTTTTTTTTTTAAAAAAGCATAAGTACATAAAAAAAATAAAAATGGGAACTTGTGTTATATCATAATTTTTTTAATTAGAATCAAACTTGAAAAAATGTTGAATTAAAGTTTATCTATAACAAAATTAAAAATATAAAATAAAAATTAAAAAAATAAAAATTAAATTTAAAAAAATGAAAAAATAAATAATTTTAAATTAAAAAACTAAATTAAAAAAAAAAACATGAGCACGGGTGATTGGTTCAACTAGTTTTATTAAATTAGTATTGTTTTGTTTTTTTAATATTTTAGTATTAATATGATTAGATGATATCAAGTTTGACTGGTTAAATAAAATTGTTATTAAGTAGATTTTTCTATATTAATATCTTATATAATTTAAATAAAAATACAACTCTATAAAAGTATTTAATTTTGAGTTTTTTTTTAATCGACCCGCCTTACCAAGTGAAGCAACCTCGAAAAACAACATGTGTTTTGTTGGATGAGAGTTTGTTTTTCCTTCATTTAAGAACAAGGAACTGAGGTCCGTGACCTTAGCTGGTGGTCTGGGAAAAGGATTCATTTTCCACATTATTGAGGAGAGGACTTGAAGACTGACGTCTTGAAGACTTACGTCTCACACGACTTCTTATCCACACCCTCCAATCACTTTTGCCACCCCTGCACGTCATGACCATTAAACATTATGGAGGAGAAAGGAATAAACTTTCACATGACAAGCCTTTTATATGAAAAGTTTTGAATAACGGTAGTTGTTGTTGTTTTTTTAAATATTTTTATTTAAAAATATATTAAAATAATATATATATTTTTAAATTTTTTTTATATTAATATATTAAAATAATATAAAAAAATAAAAAAATATTAATTTAAAATAAATTAAATAATTTAAATTTTTTAAAAAATATTTTTAAAACTGAGGTTAGCAAGCAATATTTTTAAAATGTAAAAATAAATAGAGTTTGGCAAACTAGTGTTTCATTGGTTTTTTTAAATGTAAGAAATAATATTAAGAGAGAAGAATTTTTCAAATGTCTTATTAAACCTAGCTAAATAGTTCAATTTTAAAACCTTGCAATTTAGTTTTTTTTTTTTTTTCTAAATTGAGTTTTTAATTAAATCATAGGGAAGCTAGCATAAATTAAATCGATTAATTTTATGGGTTTAAATGTATTCTTAATGGTTGGTAAAAATATGACCTGATTTTTAAAAAAAAATTAAATTGATAATTTTTTCTGAAACAATATTGAAAGAATGACATATTGGATCAATATCAATCCCCCAATGATTTGTTTCATGAATTCCATTAAGTTTAATAATTTTTTTATAATTTTTTTTAATTACATGATAAAAAATTGAGCATTAACCTAAAAAGAAACATTTATTTAAGATAATGATAACTCTAAAAAAACTAAAAAGAATAAATTATATAGTTTATTTTCAAATTAATCAAATATTGTAGGATAAAATTAAGAAAAATATAAAAAGAATTAAAGGGGAAAAAAACATATCCGACCAGTAAGTAAACTCAACAAAACTATGAATTGGGTAACTCGGGCTAACACACCACACCTATGAACTGAGTTATAGATTCCAATGAGATTATAATTTGTTTTTTTTTAACACCACACCTATGAACTGAGTTATAGATTTCAATGAGATTATAATTTATTTAAAAAAAAAAAAATTTATTTAACTATATAATAATAAAAATAGATAACTATACAAGTGAATACCATCTAAATACTAAGATATTAAAAACTTAATTAGAAAAAAAAAGTTAAACTCGTCAAATTTGAGAATAAGGTCAACTAGCCAAACCAGTGAACATATTTATGGATTTATAAAGTTTAATAACATGACTTTTATATATATATATATATATATATATATATATATATGAAAAAGCAATAAACAAAAAAAAAAGAGTCATGTTCAATAAAAATAAAAAGATATCATACCAAATAATATTTTTTTAAATAAAGATAAAATTAAAAAAGCAAGAAAATAAATTTATATCATGATATTTAATATTGCAATTTAAATTATTTATCTAATTGTATTTAATAAATTTATCTAGTAAAATTCTTTTAAAAATAGAAATCAATACACACATAAAATTTATTGAATAATAATAAAAAAAAGACAGCTATATAAGGTTATACATATTAAAAATATTATAAAAAATAAATATTTTTTATTTCTATAAATAAATTTAATATATAAAAAATAAAAAATGAATCATATTAATCTATTAAAAAATTAAACATATCTAAAATAATTAAAAAATAATTGCTATTCCAAAAAGGATAAAAAAATCATAGATAAGTAAATTACAAACTTAAAAATTATTTTGAAAAATATAAAAAAATTCTAAATTAAAAAAATCAAAACTATACATATAAAAAATAAGGTGAAGCCAAACTCCTGCTTCATGAACAAAAAGCTTGGACGCTGGCCAATAAGGTTAGGCTCAATCATGCATCCCTTAGTTTTTTTTTTTTTTTTATGGTAAATTAATGGATGGATGACATATGGTCTACCTAATACAATTTTTTAAAAAAAAATAGACAGTGTATTGTTTATAATCCAATCCTCAATTAGTGGCTAGAAAATCTCGATAGGTGATTATTCCTTTTAAAAATCTATTTTAATCCATATTTAATTTAAAATATTTAGAAAAACATTCTAATAATTTTGTTAAATCAATTTACAACCTCTAAAAACTCAAAAAATCAATTTAAAATCTAAAATCAACCGAAAATTTAAAATCTTTCTGATCTCAAATCTATTTTATTAGATATTCTCAAGATAAAAAAAAAATTAATTTGAACCCTCCTCATCTTATTTTATGGAATCATTTAGAATAAAATCTATCATTTTTGTAGTTGGAATTATAGTAATGAAAACCTTTTTTACAATTTCCTTTCTTTCTTTTCACTTAAAACACTAAAAAATAATAAAAATAAAGTTTAATATTAAAATTAATTTTTCTAAAATTATAGAGCCTAGTCACCTAATAAATAAAAAAATAAGAAATTAAAATGTACTTTTTAAACAAAATTGAAGGGCATCTGTTTTTAATTTTAGTTTTCTATTTTTTAATTCAATTATTTTTAAAAAAACATGCAATTGGATGTTAATAACAACTTAATTGTGCAAAACAAATTTAAAGATCAAATTTTTTTTTTTTAAATTGCTATTCTAACCTTCAATGATACATGAGACGGTAAATTCGTGGTGATTGGTAAAACTGGTAGAAACAATGGGCAAATAAAGGTGAGGTGTGGTGGCTTGTGTAAACCATAATTGTTTGACCTGACCTGGCTTATGTTATTAAAGATGAACACCTGAATTATTGGAAAAAAAAAGAAGAAGAAGAAAAACCCTCTTAATATTGTTCTTTGATCAGGTTAACTAGATAATTAAAAACATAATCAAGTTAATTTAATTTAATTAAAAACCGGATCAAGCTCCGAACCTCAGGTCAACCTCCCACACGATACCATGACAGGTTTAACAAACTATGGTGTTTACTGCTGCCCATGTTCGACCTCACTAAACCGTCAACTACTTGTGTGTTGTTTTTATAGTATGATGGTGATAGTAAAATTAACACGAGAGATGTGAATTATTGATTTTTTTTTTCCGGCTTATTAAATTTCTTTAGGCAATGTGCCTGGAAAATGTGATAACTTTTCACATCTTTGATTAGAATTCTTCACATAAACACATAAAGATTTTCTGGGTTACAGGCAATGAACAATGATAAAGGTGACTTTCCTGTGTTCTTGTAACATAAATTATAAAATAAATTATTGAATGATAAGGAATATACATGTTTTTGTTACTGTGATACATGTATGTTTTAACTCTGCAGACTCTGGAAATCCATTTAGAAATCAGATCGATCAGTGCACTGATGCTCCTCATTTCGTCTGTCTGCGCCACTGGCTTCTTGATCTCAGCACTTATGGGAAACCTTCTAGTTAAGACGAGAAAAGTAAGTAGACAATCTTCCATGATTCTGGGCATGGAGAATTCTTAGACAAGGCAGATTAAAAGTGCTGTTCCAAAATATATAACAGTGAGTGTTGCAAAGCAACGAGAAAAAAACTAATCTGTTGAAATGTCACAAACACCTGGCTTATTACTGCCCCGATAACTAAGAAATATGAAACTCTTTCCTTTTTTGTTTTTCATATAAAAGTGGAGTCTTGCTAACAATAAAACTTCTATCAGCTGTATGTTGTTAGTCATCGAATGTAATGAAGCTATTCTTAGCCTTTCACATGCTATTACCCTTTCCCCTTCTGGGAAAAAAAATAATAATGCCATAATGCATGAAAGATCAAGTTGCAGTGGATAATACAAGATAACATGTTCTTGTGTATTTCCATAAAAAAGAAATACACAAGCAATAGATGGTGTCTGCTTGCATTTACATATAAAATAGCAGTCTAGATTTTGCCAAGTATTCAGTTATGAGCTTCGTTTTCCAGATTCTCCAAAGCTTAGTTACCTGTGGTTCAGTTGGGCACCTCTCAGGCTGCCTTACTATATAAATCTGATCTCCAGGAGAATTGTACATGTCCTGATTTCGGTGCCATGTCCATAGAGCATGAGTCTCATTTTTGACCTGAAAGTGAATATCACAACCATTTTGGCATTCTTGAGCAACTTTAATCAGAGCAGTCATCTTCCATGATACATACCTCCATACATACATATATTCAGACTAGATTTCTGCTCCTCTCATAGCCCCCAGCACTAATTCTTCTACTTACTGATGCAACTAAATTATTTTATATGTAATGCATGTGGAATATATTCAGACAAGTTTCTAGAGAAGGTGTCAGCTTGTGTTTGTGTATGCTTGTTCTCCATCAACACTACCTGATTCGAAGGATGGCTGTCGAATCCATAGTCGATAGAAGTTCTAAGTGTTCTCAATCCCCTTTTAGATCAGGCAACGAATAAAATAAAACAAAACAAAGCAATTAGTCACGCCTGTGGGCACAGCATGGTCAAAGGAGCCTAGAGAGATACCTCAAAAATCCCATGACCAAAGCTACTTTCTCTGTATGCGCTATAATCTGGCTGCCGGTCCCAGCAGAATTTTCCAGCTGCTGGTCCTGATGTAAAATTGAATGCACAGAAACCGCCCATGTACTCATCTGGTGTAGTGGATGGATCAGGACAGTTACCGGGTTCATCAGCATGTGCAATGGCCATCTTCTCTCGGTTTCCACCATCACCGACGGTGATATGAACAGGACCACAAGGATCCAAAGTGTAGTTGTATACCCGGTTAGACCTCTCGTAGGCATGTACCTGTTTGCAATTGGAATATGAAATTCCTTGGCGCATGAAATTTGTTTTGAAGAAAATGATAAATGCACAAGTCTCCTACTGTTGCTCAAAATTAAGATTCTGCTTAGCAAAAAAGAAGTGCTGTAAGGAAAAATAGATCGCTTAGAGCCAGGACTTTTCACTTACATGGCCATTAAAGATTATGTCAACACCATACTGATAAAGCAAATCTTCCATTGCTGTCCTCATACATTCTGCTTCTCTATAATGCGCTTTGTAGGTGCTGTACCAAGGAGGGTGCCAGGTAGCCACCAACCATGGGGTCACTTTTCTGTCAACCTTGGCAAGATCTTTCTCCAACCACTTGTATTGATGCGCTGGAGAGACTCGGAGAATTAAGTAAATCACATTTCACTGTGCATTTACATGGAAAAAGAAATGCATATTTTCTTTTCCTTGAACATGGAGCAAGCATTAACGATATTTCCTTTTCCTCCATTCCCATGCTTAGAAATAATATCCAATCCTCAATGGCGGTGAGCTAGAGGCTCTATAAGCCAATGTGTTGAGATGATTTAAGGAAATTGAACGACTGGTAAATCAGTGGATATAATTTGACCTGATATGTTTACCTGATTTGTTGTAGGCAATGTAGCCACCCAGCATTATGAAATGTATCCCACCAGCGTTGAAAGAGTAATAGAACGCGGAGGATGATCCACTTTCCTTGGATGGGAACGCAAATCGAGAACTATAAGCAACAAATGTCTGATTTTCAACTTGTTTTTCTATCTCATGGTTTCCTTCTACCACCATTATTGGAATTTTAGATGTCACAGGCTGCATATATCTGATAACAAGCATCCAATGGTCATCACACATCATCCAAATTGCTGATAATATTCACCAGAAAGAAACATTAAACGTGAGAAACACCCATGATGGCACATTTTAAGACCAATTTCCTTTGTCTAGTTCGGCCAAAAACCGAAACTTAGTTTGATTAGTGTATTTTTTTTTTTTATTCTTTTATACAAACTAACTGAATTGAATTGGAACATAAAGCCGCAAACAGTTCATGATGCAGCTTCGCACGAATCAGAGTCATATATCACCCAAGGTCATCATTAATATATCAGCAAATCATGATTCTGAATAGATTAAGTAAGGAATCCCTGGAAAATGATGTTTTTCCAGCAGTCTGAACCAGATAAATGTAGAATTAAGTGTATACACTTTGTTTTTTCAGTACAGACTCTTCGATACTCCAAGCTCCATTCTTGGTTTAGCTAATTTGTTATTCATCCAGTAAACAAGAGCTATCCTGCTAGACAACAAGTATGCTTCCTAATTCATGTTTCTACAAAATGATTGCTTGGTCCTTTTCCACTTTGCAGCACAGAATACTGAAGGGAAAGACTGAACACACAAATCTCAGTACAAAAAGAAAAGTCTTACCTTCCCCAGTAATCCCAGCGAGGCTGATAGGTTTCATGAATGGGAGTTCGAGAAAAAGAGCAGGAGTAGCAATCAGCCCCAGTTCCATTGGTAAGGTACAAGTTAGCATAACAAACATCTCCAACCACTAAAATAAGATCAGGATTGTTTCCAATCATGTGATCAACTGTTGAGGTTGTATTGTACGTAAGACCTAGGTCCCCCACTATTGCTATTCTGCTGGGGTAACTATTGGGGCCAGAAGCCGGCATAGTCTTAAAGTAATATGTACTGCTCATTGCTGGTATTGAAGGATCTCCACATTGATAATGATAAAGTGTGTTGGGTTTTAACCCTGCAGAAAGACATGTAAAGGTAAAATTAAGCCTAAGCTGGATGGCACATTGGGGTAAGGTGGAAAATCACTTTTCGCCCCCATATTCTAAATATCAGAATCTGAGCTTTCCTATTTCCATCAGAATTCATGAAAAGCCCAGATCCTTAATGAACATGACTCTCTTCACTATGCCACCACACATTACAAAGGTGAGTGAATGCTACTTTGCACATTTCTTCCTTACCTCCAACATGAACAGTAACAGAATCTTAACAGGTTCGGATGAAACATTACTTTGGGATGTCTTAATATCTCATGAGTACTAAATGATCATCTCTTTAAGCATTGAGATCATGGACTAATCCTGTCATCATAATTAGCATAGTACATGGCAGCATGATACCTTGTAAAATGACGACAGATAAAGCTGAATGACTCGGTGCTTCAAGCTTAGTTGATTACAAACGGAAAATAAGCACTTAATGAAAAAAGCAAGGAAAACATGAAGCTCTCCTTATCCATTTGTATCTATACAACGCAAATAATGAAGAGAGAACAGTAGTGCTGCAATGAAGTTTGAGGCAGTAGTACCTGTAAGACGGACATGGTGTATGATCCCAGAAGTGTAGTTCTGGAGGCCTACGAAAGGATACAACTGGTTGTAAACAAGGGAATAACCAGTAGCTTTGTGAATAAGTGGAAATCTTAACCTTCCGTATCGAACAACACTAGCAACAGTTTTAGGATTCAATGGTTTTATGCTATCCCCAATTTGAAAATCCCCTGCAAATCAATCCAAAAAACATCAATCAACAAGCTTTAAGATAGCCGAAGAGAAGACCATTTTAAAGTCTAAATATAGATTAACTTCAAATCATTCCATTATATTTTAATGCCTTCCATGTTTACAGAACAAAAAGCTAAAGTTAAAAGGAAGAAAAAATCCCAGTTGCTTATTAGTCATATGAGATCATTTGAATTGGATTTCAAACTGTACACTTGATTTGATTGAAATCATATGGAGACATCGACTAAACTCCTTGAAGCATCAACACCCTACCAATTGACTTCTTCACTAAATAATTCCTAACAAAGACAAAAATACATTACTATGCATGACATCCAAACACATAACGTCAAGCCAAATTAATTACTATTACGACATATGTATCTTCAAAACCTTACCTTCTATTCAAACTAAACCAAAAAGGAAAAAAAAGAAGAAAAAGTCAGAAGCTTAAAGAGAGAGAAAACAAGAACCAAAACAATGAAATGATGGGGAAAAAAAGTACCTGTAATCCAAGAAATCCAAACAGAGTCATGAGTAGTAGAGAGGGACACAGAAATCTGTTCGGGCTCAAAACCTTGAACAACCCTTTGCACTCGAGGGTCTGTATCAGGCAAGTCCACAGCATGTCCTCTAAAAGTTTTATCAAGAGGGACAGTCACTGGCTTAAAGGGTCCATCAAGAGTTGTTGGTATCCCAACAACAATATTATCAGTGCCGACCAAGCTTATTGACAGAACACAAAACGAGATCAGTAGCACTGAAACCAAACCCATGAATTAATTCCAGGGTTCAATAGAAACTTATGTTTTTACCATATGAATGCAAAATTGTGAATAAATGTTACAGAAGAGGCCGGACAAAGGTGGCAAAAGGATTCTAAGCTGAACAGAAGAACATGGAAGCGCCGCCCTTAACCTTGCACATGAATGGTCTCTTTATTTATATATTCGGAGGGGGAGAGAGATTGTTAAGAAGGAAGAGACAGGGTAAGAAGGATCATAAGATGGATTGGAGGGAGAGTAGGCGGGGCGTCATTTGCTTATATATATTTATTATAGGCCTCTGCGCTTTGTAGATATGTAAAAGGTGGCATGCATGTGGACAAGAAGAGAAGCATGGGAAGGGCTTTGTAGCCGTTTGGCACGAGAAGTTACCTTATTTGTTTACTTGGATTCCTGCAAAATCCTCGTTTTGAGCTCCACTAGGTAAGGTAGTTTGTGTCTTTTCAGTTTCTTCCTCTTCTATCTTCCGTGAGAGAACATTATTGGTAGGTTTATTATTTTTAACATTAATATATTAAAACAATTTAAAAATACCAAAACAAAATTAACTTAAAATTAATAAAAAAATTTAAATTTTGAAACATGAAAATAAATAGATTATTTCTATCCTAAAATGATAGTAATTGTACACTTTGGCCTCGATTTTTCATAAGTGATCAATTCATCATCAACTATAAAAGGCAAAAATCCCAATAAAAAACCTAAGCCAGCAGGGAGTTGGGAAAGGGAGATGCCGAAGCACAATGAAGCCATACAAAGTCTACAGAGCTAGCAGAAGCACAACAGGCAAGAAACTTTAATAATAAAGTCACTGCAATTATTGGCATGGATTTAACTTACATAATATATGCTCTTAATCTACTTAGACAGCACCCTTCTTCTAATCCACTCATCTTACGTTTTGTTTTTCATAGTCACATCGATCAAAATACATGGAGTGCATGGTCTCATAGATTAGGGTCCCTCGGAGAAGATAAGTTGGCACTTGTGTAGTTTTTTTATGCTGAAAAGTATTTTCTTTTTAAAAATATATTTTTAATACTAATATATCAAAATAAGTTATAAAATAAAAAAAAATAATTTAAAAAAAAACTCAAGACCAGTAAAAAAACATGGTTGAACCAAAGAAACAAACCGCAAAAACCACTAGAAGCAAAAAAACATAACTATAAATCCTAAGAAATATATTAACTAGTGAGATTTTGAGTTTGTTTTTCATTTATTATAAATTCGAGGTCATTAAAAACTTATATAATTATTAATTTTAAGTTAATAAAATTAGTTAAGATAATAAATATTTATATTAAAAAAATAAAAAAAACAAAACTATTGAAACAGATATGCTAATGCCATATATGAAAGTTGACACTTCTTTGGAGGCTAGAGACAAGTAGCTGAAAACAAAAGAAAGAATGCGAACAGGGTGAAAAAGCCTCTATTTTGGACACAAGAAGAGTATTGGCCGCTCCGCTTGCTAGGCGCCATGGTACCTGACGCAGCACAGCATCACAGATGGACCAGATTATAGGCTTATGTGCACAATTTTCATGGGAGACCAAACAAACAAAAGTATCAGAGTTCATGCCTTTGATCGCATTCTCTACTTCCACACACCCGACTCAAGTTTTGTACGTTTTGATGAGGTTCTGGGTATGATATCAGCACGTTTTTAAGTTTTGTACAAGCTAGATTTATCTTTTTTTTTATTAAAATAATTATTTAAATTAATTTTAGCATATCTTAACTAATTTCATAGGTTTTGAAATTAATAATCATGTAAATTTTTAATGGCTCTAAGATTTGTGAAACTCAAACTAATAACTTTTAAAAAATAAATTTAAAATCAAACTAGTTGATTTATACCCTTCAAAATTATATATCACTATCTTATATCTTATATTAATAAGATTAAAATAATTAATGATTTAAAATTCTATAAAGCCAAATTAAATAAACACAAAGAAAAAATTATCAAGATTGTATTATGCTAGGTGTACATACATATACATAAATTTTGAGTTCATTTATAAATTTACTTAAAAGAGCGAGCATTATTGCAGATTATACAAATGCTATTGCAGATTATACAAATGCTAGCACACTATAACAAAACAATATAGTTGAAAAGAGTCACACTTTTATGAATATTACAAGAAATATAATTAATAATTATAATTTACTATTATCTTTATAAAGTGAAGCTTTAAAGACTACAATGTTAGTTTTAAACAAGATTTCATCTGAGGTTATCTCAAAGACAACCTTTGAGTTATAGAATTGATGAAAACATCCAATTTAAGTTATACACATGTATGAGATAATCTTGTTGAGGTAATAATTTATAATTTTTAATGAAAAAAATTAAACCCAAGAATACTTAGTAGATATTTTATAGATTATGCACTAAAATCTAGGATATAATATTTATTATCCTTCTTATAATACATGAATGGTAGAGGCAATAAATATAAAATTTCTTAAGGATATTAGCAAGAGTGATTTTCCTCTCTCTCTTAGTAATTGCTAAGTAATTGTCTAAGTACTTAATCTTAGTAAATTCAATTGTGATTCAATTGTGATTATACACATTGACATGTCTAAGTATCTTACATGATAGAGTAGCAAGAGAGCTTGATGGTCTCAGCCTCACATTTGGATCATCAAAAAGGCTTCAATTACTAGGAGAGTTGTGTTTAATTAAGCCAAACTTACATTTAAGAGGGTAATTTGTTGGTTGCATATTGGAGTGAAATAATATCAGTTTAAAATGAGAAGAATGAATAATAAATATTGATTGAATAATATCTTATTAGTCATGTCCATGCAAATTAATTATATTTCTTGGATTTTTATTTTTACTTTTAAAAAATAATATCTTATTTATTCTTGAAATTTATGATCTCATATCAACAACATATTTATTTTTTGGAATGGAGTAAATTTATAAAAAAGAAGAGAAAGATATTGATCCCCAAGTCAATTTCTTATTTAGACAACAAATATTAGTTCGAGGATTTAACTTTGTTTTTGTAAAATAATAAGTGTGTCTTGTGTAGAAAAATTTATCATAAATTATTGAACATAAAAAATGTACAATTCATCTCTGCATTTCCTTCTTCTTTTATCATTGTTCCATTATTTAGTACTATTTAGCATTAGTTAAATGCATGATCATCCAATAAATTATTTTTGGATATATTCATTATATGCATTGAACAATCTCCTTTTATCCCTTTTCCTTTAAATTACATTTATATAATAATTGATTTTTTTTTTTGGCATGATTCATAGGAAACCTTAGGTTAAATGCATGTTTTGAAAATAGAAGATTTTTGTAATCCTAAACAATGCGAGAAATTTTTTTTAAAATTTTTCAAAAAGAATGATTCAATTACTCTCCCCCATGCTTAATATTTATTTGACAATGTGAATATATTTATAATATAAAGTAATAATTTTGATTTAAAATTATAGATTATATTAACGCTTGTATTGTTATACAAGCACATATATTATGGTGATAACATGTTGGCCGATGTTTCATTATCATTGTTAAAGGTGTATTTGGGATAGTGATGTAAATTATTTTTTAAAGTGTTTAATATTTAAAAATATATTAAAATATTTTTTATTTTTTAAAATTTATTTTTGATATTAATATATTAAAATAATTTAAAAACATCAAAAAAAATTAATAAAAAAAAATCAAGATTTTTCAAAAGTATAGTTGAATCACACTATCAAATACCCCTTAAAAAGAAACAATAAATAATAAAAATAATTAAGAAATATATATTAAAAATGATTACCAATCCTTACGCCTTCGGCTACCATGAAGGTATATCCGGCGGCAAGGGAACCCACACGGACAATCATGAATGGCTGACTTGAAGATACAGGCTTCTCAAGTTAAGAAGAAGCAATGTCATTTGGTGAAAAAGAAATTAGCGGCGGGCGGCAGTGTACAAATGAGGAAATAAACCATTTAAAATATATTTAAAAATATAATTATAATTATTTTTTTAATTTTTATTTAAATATTTTTATATATTTTTTAAAAAAATGAGATTGTTCATGTTTAGAGTTCATGACCGCTCCTTTTAATAAATACATTTCTTGAGAATCGAATTTTTATAGGAATATAGCAGTGCTTTAACAACTAGACTAATATTTTATTAATAGTTGTAATTATTTTTTAAAATAATTTTTACATAAAATATATTAAAATAATATTTTTTTATTTTTTAAAAAATTATTTTTGATATTAATATATTAAAATGATCTAGAAACATAAAAATTATTAATTTAAAATAAAAAAATCAGATGTCTGGAATTAAAATAAAAATTACTTTTTAAAATATATTTTTTATTTAAAAATATATTAAAATTATTTTTTAATTTTAAAAATTATTATATCAAACTATAGAAAACACTAATTTAATAATTTTCCAAGCACGAATTACTTTTAAAAAATACATAAACTAGAAATCTTAGCCAAGGCTTATCCAAAACCGTTGTGTCCGAGTCCAGACCATCGGGCTGCCTGGCTTATGAACAACTCTACTGTGTTCTATCCTATCCAAACAGCAACTACTGGCATTGTTCATGAGTTGAAAGCTGAATTAAAAAAAAGAAAAAGATAATGGTTTGACTGTTCTCACATCATGTAACGATAATCTTTTCTATGCATCATATGTTGTTATAAATAAAATACTAGTAAATATTGTTAAACATTTAAGTTTGCTAATTCTTATATTTGTCAATTATTCAAAAAAATCACATTAATTCCAAGCTATATCTAACATTATAAATAAAATAATTAATTCTAGTAATAAAATAATATATATTATAATTACATTACTATTACAATTACAAAATATACTAAAACTCGATAATAATCTAAATTTTTTATGACCAAATTAATGATCAATTCATTATAATTTGTTAAGAAAAAAGAAAATCCAACAAAAGAAGCCACAATATAAACACAAGGAGATATCATGCAACTATATTTATATATAAAACAAAACTTGACATGCTTTAATTTGTGAGTAATGAAACAAGATTTTTTTATTATAGATTTTTATAAATAAAAATATCCTAAAAACAAAATAGGTTTAACAAATATATAAGATCCAAAAGACTTGAGTTTCACAATAATAACGTAAATTTAGAAAAATAAAGTACTTAAATTCAACAGTCAGTTAAACCTAAAGTAACATGAGTTTGATAAAAATATCAGATTTAAAAAATTTAAGTTTAACAGTCAGTCAAGTCCAAGAATATGTAGACTTAATAAAGATGTTAGACATAAAATATTTGAGTTTGATAATCAACAAAACTCAAGATTATGTAGATTTGCAAAACATGCTAGGCTAAGAGCATTTGGATTCAATAATTATCAAGTTCTATGATTATATGTGAAATCCTACACGAT